CCCGTAAGCTCCGTAACCTGATAGAGTCTGCCAATTTTCATGTTTCTACCCTCCAAGCAACACACCATAACAACTCTGGGCATGATACTTGGTTAGACTTAATCCTTACCTCTTGTCCTTCCCTTGTGTCCTCTCATGGCCAATGCCCTGCTCCTGGACTTTCTCATCACGACCTTATTTTCCTATCCTATATCCTAAAAACCCCCAGACGCAAGGCGAAAGTGCTGTTTAAGCGTTGCTTCGCCCGAATGGATATCTCAGAATTGCGCGAAGATGCCATTGCAATCGACTGGGCGCCTATGGAGCGAGCCGCTATTGTTGATGGCAAGGTTCAAATGTTTAATGATATTGTTTACAAGTTATACGATAATCATGCACCGGTGAAGAAGGTCAGGATGAAACACGAGCCAGCACCTTGGTTAACCGAGGGTATCCGTATGGCGATGCGCCGTAGAGACCGGGCCTTTCGTAAATTTAGGAAAGATCGCTGTGAGACCAATTGGACCATCTATAAAACCGCAAGAAACAGATGCAATCAAATGATACGCAACGCCAAACGCCACCACATTCTCCTGAACATTTCTTCCTCCACGCCGGCCGGTATCTGGAAGTTCCTTAGGACTTTCGGTGTAGGTAAGGTTCAGCATCCAATTTCATCTGTGACTGTTGGCTTGGACGACATGAATCTTCATTTCACCACATCTGCCATAATGCCGTCCCAAACCAAAGGTCAAACTCTCGTTTATGTTACCGGGCTTGCGCGGCGGGATATCGAAGCCTTCTCGTTTTCTCCAGTGGCCTCGGACGAGATCAAAAAAACAATCCTAAAAATAACATCTAAAGCTGTGGGCTGTGACGATTTAAGCCGCTTTATGATAGTCACCGTATTGGACCAACTTCTTCCTGCAATCTCCCATATAATCAACTTCTCCCTTTACTCCAGACACTTTCCAGCCGCATGGCGCAGCGCATACGTTCGCCCTCTTCCAAAGATTCCAAATCCTTCCCTACCGAGCCATTTCCGACCCATTTCAATTCTCCCTTTCCTATCCAAAGTACTAGAGGCGTGTGTTCATAAACAACTCTCCAAGTTTATCCACCAAAACAATATCCTCAGCCCACTTCAATCAGGATTCAGACCTGGACATAGCACAGTTACAGCTATGCTTAAAATGACCAGCGATATTAGGAATGGTGTGGAAGACGCAAAAGTTACTATTCTAATCCTGATTGACTTCTCCAACGCCTTTAACACAGTCAACCACGATATCCTCATATCTATCCTCACCCATTACATGGTCTCCACCGAAGCACTGGAATGGTTTTCATCTTATCTTCGTGGACGTCGGCAGTCGGTCCGCATTGATGAAGCATCATCAAGTTGGTGTGATCTTGCTGCTGGCGTTCCGCAAGGTGGTATTTTATCTCCTCTCCTATTCTCGATGTTTATCAATCTTATTACTCTCGATCTTCGGTGTGCGTATCCGCATACATCATCATACATACGCATCATCCGCATACAAATGTATGCGGATGACCTTCAAATCTACGCACAGACCAGCCTCGATAATATAGTGGCAGCAATTCAAAATATTAACAGTGATTTAGTAGCAATCAAAAACTGGTCTGAGCGTTTCGGCGTAAGTGTGAATCCCTCCAAGTGTCAGGCCATAATTATAGGTAGCCCCAGAATGATGAGCAGATTAAACACATCAAACCTGCCGGCGATCGTTTACAACGGATCCGACATACCGATCAGTCCATTTGTCAAAGATCTTGGCTTATGGATTGACTCCAGCCTCACTTGGCAACAGCAGGTTGCAAACGTAAGTCAAAAAGTCACTGGAACCTTGCGATCACTGTATCGGCTAAAAAACTTTCTTCCACATACTACTAAGTTAATGCTTGTACAGGCTTTGATCTTTCCAATCATCGATTATGGTGATGTATGCTATCTCGACCTGAATGCAGATCTACTCAACAAACTTGATCGACTTCTCAATAATTGCATTCGATTCATCTTCAACCTCCGCAAGTATGACCATGTGTCTGCCTATCGATCCCAGCTGTCATGGTTACCTATACGTCAGCGCCGTAGCTTGCGCGCCTTGACTACCCTTTATTCTCTTCTTAATAATCCTACAGCTCCCACTTATCTCACTTCACAGCTTAAACCGCTATGCTCCAACCATGACAGAGATCTTCGGTCCACTAATAATCATTTACTCTTGAATCCAATCCACACTTCTTCTCTTGTTCATTCTTCATTTGCTGTCCAGTCTATCCTACTATGGAATGCGCTCCCGCTTGAGATCAGGATGTCAGGAAGTCGTGACACGTTCAAAGCTAAAGTCCGCGAATTGTACAGGAAACAGCTAGCAGAAATATCCTCATGATATCGTCACCCAAACTTTATTGTATTTATTATATTCCGTATGTATAATATATTAATAGTTATCTATGTATTCGTCCATCTTTTTCAAATAGTATTATCAAATTAATGTTATATTTTCATAGCTTCTCTTCTTATCACATAATATATGTGCACCTGCCATGCCCCTTACTGAACCATCTTCAGACCAGAGTCAGACTGACTTCTGGGAGCCTCACCGAGATAGGCGTTCCCGTCACCACCTCCCCCTCAGTGGACGACCCATCCGCTCCACTGTTCCTCTTCTTCCTTCCCTTCGTTTCCGTGTCCGTTTGACTAGCTTTTTTCCGTTGTTGGTTATTTCCGATCGTTTTTGACGTGACAACGTCTTATAATTCGATGGAGCCGGCTGCACGCACGAAAAAACATGACTCATGCGGCGTTACCTCGCTCTAAGGCGTTCCATTTAAGGCGTGAAGTGCAAGCGAGAGCGCGGAACGAATGACAAAGAGGCACAATCGGCCTCCGCGTTCGGCAGCGTTCGACATCTGTCTCTCTCCTACTTGAGTGAGCGATGCGTCCGCGTGGACAGCTGCTACTCGTATACAATAATACATTTTTGAAAAATGTAACCATTCCATCAGTATTTTCTTATGACGTTGTCACGTTCAACTATCGTCAGTAAACCGACTTTACAGACAACCGATTTTTTAGAGAGGTTATCTTCCTCGCGGTCCGGGCGGTTAAGCCAAGACCCTCGCCCCCGATCAGAGCCGCGAGACTTGACCACAGCGCTCTTCTCGGGATTACGATATGCCGACGGTTGACAGGGAGACTACGTCCCCCTGCCTGCTCGGTGGTAGTGTCAGTACACGCCGAGCCCGTCCTCCTTTCTCCACCGCTGTCATCGGAGAAACTGTGGCCCCTACAGGCCCTGCCATCCGGTTTTTTACCGAGGTTTCCTCCTCCATGCTCCGAAGAGCGAAGAGCCAGCAGGGCAACCGGCAGACACGCCCACCCTGCTGGACCAGGCCTTGCCCGAGAGCCGATGAACGGCTTCCTCTTCTGCTAGAATATTAGCCGCTGGCGATAATCCTCTCCTCCAAGTGGACAAGGAGGAAACAGTGCCATCGCCAGCGTTTCCAGGGTGCACCACGGGGAGGTTTTCTAGCATAGCACCCCATTTATTTCATATCCCTGTGCTATATTCAACCATTCTTCTTGTGTTGGCATTCGCATATAAACTGTAGATAATTCTGACCAAATATGATGAGTAACTTCACGTACAATGTTCGCTACTGTTTTTATTCCAGCATCTCCAGTTGCCATGTATCTGTAAAAAATGGTAACAATGTTTAACAATGAGGTCATTTCCTTTTTTATATGAAGTTTATGTCTAGTTGCAATAGATCTCGTACTTTCTTACGGTAGTTCGTTTTTTGTTTCAGCAAAGTCTACAGCAAAAAAATGGACAAGTTTGCGAGATAGGTGGATGAAATGTCACAGAAGACTTAAAGAAATGAAATCGGGATCAGGTGCTAAGAAGATTCGTAAATGTTATTTTTGACAAAAATTGTATCACGCCGAGCCGTGCCATGTCATTTTTTAAAAGTATAGCTCCGAGTGTTGATAAGTTCAGTGATGAGGAAATGGTGGATTTCCAGTTTGAAGTTTTAACTTGTGAGTGCTACGCAACAACGAAAGGGAAGTGATGTTCAGCATCAATGGAGTACTGAGTATTACAAAACAACGCAGCCTTCTACGTCGTCATTTAACGTATCCGGCCCATCATACTCGACTCGACCAGGTACTCAAAAATCTACATCCATTGAATTTGACACCGAAACTATTAGTAGTGTGGAAACATCGCATACAGATGAATTTCACTTTGACTATTCTAAAGAATATGAACATTTGGAGTCTGTTGAATTTGGAAACATGTACCACTTCAAAGACATTTATTATTGTACAACGTTCAAATCAATATGCTTAAAAAAAATACTTACCTTAATGTTACGGCCAATCTAATGTATGGAGGAATACTTTCTCGCATTTTGGTATTTTCATGTCGTATATTATTTTCTATACTTGTCAAAAGCTTGTCAAACGTGGACATTTTCATGCGAAAATAATCCACAAATTTTTCCTCATGTTGTCGCATGACACGGTAAAGGGTAATTGGATGAACCCAGTAAAGTCTCTTGTTTTTTGTTTCCTTTTTTATTTGTCATAATAATAATACACAATTATCATTCTTTTCTCTTTCATTCAACGAGAGGCTTATGTCCAGCAGTGGACTATTAAAGGCTGTTGATGATGATCATTCTTTTTTGCTTTGTAGTTAACATTTATATAAATAAACGAAACTCACACTGATTATCACACTTGTTATTACTTGCGCGCCCTACGCCCGACTGACGACTGCACGAAAAACATCGTGTCGTGTACACGTTTCGATTGGTCTTCTCTGCGGAAGACACGAAAAGTTTTCGTGTGTGGAACAGACAAAATTCTTGTCGTCTACACGAAGAATTTGTCTTGTCTGCCGCAGGAACGACAAATTATCTTAGCGTGTACAAGCGCCGTTACACTCGGAGGGGCCCGGTCGACGTAGAGCGTGTTGTGAGCCATGTTGCGCGCGGGCGTCATCGAGCCCGTGGAGTGCTCGAAGTGGGCGATGGCGTTGGTACCGGTACGTAAAGCTGACGGCGACTTCGTATCTGTGCTGATTACAAAGTAACTTAATATCCTGTCTTACTGGTCGATAGATACCCGCTACCGAAGATCAATGATCTATTAGTGAGCTTAAACGGTGCTACTCATTTCTCAAAAATTTACTTATCCCTTGCTTATAATCAGATTGAGCTGGATGATTCCAAAGAATTGACTGTAATAAATACACATCGAGGTTTGTTTAAATACAATAGACTCGTGTTTGGATTGTCGTCTAGCCCGGGCATTTTCCAGCGTATTATGTCAAATCTACTTAGTGATATTCCGGGGGTAGAAGTATTTCTCGACGACATTATCCTGGGAACGTCGGGAACGCCAAATAAACATTTAAAAACATTAGAAAAAGTTTTCCAGAGGTTACAAAGTCACGGTATGAAGTTAAAAAAAAGTAAATGTTTATTCATAGTTAATGAAGTCAAATACTTAGGGTATGTTATATCGAAAGAGGGTATTAAGGTAGATGCAGATACTCGTAAAGTAAAGGCAATAATAAAAATTCCCAGGCTACAAGATATTACAGAGTTACGTTCTTTTTGAGGTTTAGTTAATTTTTATGCTAAATTTGTTAAGAATTTGAGTAGTATAGTGTCCCCACTTTATGAACTTTTAAAGAAAAATGCAAGTTGGAAATGGAGTGTCCAGTGCGAAAGAGCGTTTGCAAAAGTTAAAAAAATATTGATAGGTGCGGAAGTGTTGGCTCATTATGATCCGGATAAGCCGTTAGTGTTGACATGCGATGCGAGCGCACGGCAGGCGCCGACGGCCACGACAGGCCAGTTGTGTATGTGTCGCGCGATGTAATTACATCAGTATGTCTATGGACGACTCTTTGTCTTACGAACCGACCATAAACCGTTAGTTAGCATATTCGGACCAAAACACGGGGTACCGGCGATGGCAGCGAGTAGATTACAGCGCTGAGCAATAATTTTATCTGCATATACGTATGATATAGAATACGTAAACACTAAACAAAACAAAACAAAACTATCGAGATTACCGGTGCCGTGCAGTAGCAATGAGTCACTGCATGTCCCTGAGCAAACGTATTTACATTTTGCACAGAAAGCATTGTTATTAGATTATAATATAATTAAACAACAAACTATAGTAGACCCAATGTAAGGTAGGGTTTTAAGTTATATTCGTGATATGTGGCCCGAAGATAATGATATTCGAGAATTACAGCCGTATATTAACCGACGTAGGGAACTGTACGAAGAGCTAAGCTGCGTTATGTGGGGGCACAGGGTAGTTATTCCGGCAAGCTGTCGAGCTAGGGTATTACAGGAATTACATGAACCCCATATGGGCATAGTTAAGACGAAGGCGTCAGCTAAGAGTTATGTTTGGTGGCCGGGCATCGACGAGGCGATTGAGGCGACGTGCCGGGAGTGCGCGGTGTGCGCAGGGGTGGGCGATGCGCCGCAGCGGCACGCGGTCACACCGTGGCCCTGGCCTTCTAGACCGTGGGCGAGGGTACATCTTGATTTTCTAGGCCCTATTTTTAGGAAAATATATTTAATTATGGTTGATGCAAGGACTAAATGGCTAGAGGTATTCCCCGTACCTAGTACGGCGGCTACTTATACCATTGAAAAGCTCACGGAAGTTTTTTCTAGATGGGGGGTTACCTAGACAAATAGTTTCCGACAACGGACCGCCGTTCACGAGTAAGGAAATTTCTAACTTTTTGACTATTCATGGGGTAGAACACGTTTTTTCTCCGCACCACCCGGCATCGAACGGGGCCGCAGAAAATGCAGTGCGTACGGTTAAAAGAATTATAAAAAAAGCTTTTACACAAAAAGAAAATATTAATTTATTTTTAAATACCTTCCTTTTGCACTATCGTAATATGTAGCACTGTTCTACAGGGGAAAGTCCGGCGCAATTGATGCTAGATAGGAATTTACGTACAAAATTAGACGCGTTAAGGCCAAACAGGGAGAATAAAGTTATAAAAGCTCAAGAACGACAGCAGAAATTAGGAACGGACGTTAAACGTTCTTTAGAGATAGGGGAGAAAATATGGATGAGACAATATAGGGGAAATGAAAAATGGAGTCCAGGGCAGGTAGTGGATAGAATGGGTAGGGAAGCTCATAGACATTTTTTTAATTGGGATTAATCCCACCCACACGCCCACCACTGTAACTCCTGTACACGAGGATCCACAGCAGTGACCCACGAACACACCGAGTTATGACACTCGGGAAGTCCCAGGAAGAAATTAAACTGTCTTGGAACCCGCAACGAAATTAATCAGAAGAAAATTGGAGGAGTTGGAAATACAGTAAATCCACTTCCCTCCTTAGCAAAGCGGGAGACAAAATGAAGTAAAATGGGCATACGCCCTTTTAAACAGGGAAGCACCACGGCTACAAAATATTACGGGTCCTACGTGAGCTATATTTGATTTCTATAATATGTATGGCAGAATCGCCTGAACGCACGGAAATTCACCCTAGTTGACACAAGATCCCCATAGTATACCACCCAAGATGTCACCTGCAAGCTATTCAGCATTATATTACGTTCATTATACCAAAGACTACATTCCCAGAGGATATGATGAGCAGACTGTTCATAGTGAGAGTTAGGTGTTGAGCATTGACACAATGGTGACTCGACTAATTTAAATGAATAAAGCTTGCTCTTAAAGTTACCATGACCCGTAAGAAATTGAGCGACACAGTGAACCACCTTAAGCCATGTCCTCGACAACCGTTCGCGAACAGATGGAAAGAATTAGTAAAGATGGCGCCCCTTGGATGATTTATCCCAGCGTTGTTGCCATTCGTCTATGAGGTCATTATAGACATCGGACTGCTGTTGAAGCAATCTTGTAATTTTAACGCGATCCCCCGCGCCCAAAAAATCGCATTCCATGTTTTGTTGTCTTGAATAGTACATGGCTGCACGTCTCTGTACCTCGAGATCAACTCGAAGCACACCCGCCAACACCGGCAAAGCCTCATTGCTAACCGTCCTATATGCCTTACACAAGAATATCAGTAAGCTCATAGACATATTAACCAGTTAAGACAGCGATCGACTCTTTAATTTGTCCGACAAGCACATCAGAACGGAGTTCTCTGGAAGCGGAACGTTCCGAAAAACCCGAGGTGATACCAGCGTCAGTTGCCGGGGAGACACAAGGCCCTCGGAGCGTGAGGGAGTTAAGTCCGGTTCGAGCGGCGATTGTCGAGGAGTTGCCGTCGGTGTCAACTTCTGGTTCAGTTCCTCGCACTAATGTTTTTAGTCCTGAGGGGTGTGTAATACTTCCTCAATCTGAGGATCCTGTTCCAGAAGTTGCCCGCCCCCGTCCCTTACGGGCGTGTCGCCTAAAAAAAGGCAACCCAGATGTTAATGTTATAATGTAAATGTAAAATAATAAGATAATGTTGTAACGTATGTGATAAATGTAAATGATAAAAAAATTATAATTCGTAAGAAGTAGTTTTATGTAGTGTGTACCTTATTTAATGTCTAAATACAAAAGTCTAGAATTAAGAAAATAATATGTCTTAATACAATTTAGAAAGTAATGATGTATTATTTAAGGTGGAGGGGTGTAATATATTTAGGTTTACCCACCTAAGTTGAATGTCAAGTGGCCCAATATAAGCGGACACATTCTTGTAACCGATTCATTCGTATTATACAATCGCTATAAATCAACATTCTTTTATTTGCACCAAGACTCTTCAAAATGAAGCCTTTAAAACTTCTGGTAATCTTCATAAGAAAGGAATTTGTCAATATCAGCGTATATGACCATGTCGTCAGAAGAAAAGAGAACACGTTAATCTGAAATAAATATAACTTTTAAGTTATGTATTATAACTCTTAATAAATTTATATGAAACTATGTACGTAAAACTAAATAATAGTTTAGATAACCTATTAAACATTTTTTACAAATATAATCTAATTCCATTGGACTACCCTCGACGCATTCTTCACAATACCATTTGGAACAGGCCAGACATTTGACTTTTTTACCTAAAATTGTGCAAGTACATTTATGACATTCTAGAAATTTTGAATTTTTGATGTTAGTCTTTAAAATACCATTTGTGTCCAAGATACTAAAAGATTCCATTTGTTGAGGAAACTACAAATTCGCTTAAATCTTAGGACGTTAGGCGACTGACCTCTTCATCTTCATTTGGCATCTCAAAAGCGTAACTAGAAAAAAGAATTAGAGGCATTTCTTGATTTTATTTTTCTCGGAAGTTGTTTTATTTTAACGTTAAGTAGCACTACATTATGAATTTGTGGAGAAAAACAATTGCAGTGTCCAGAAACTGGTCCACAAAACAAGATCCGTCTCTAAATTTTACAGAGCTTTTATCTATTGCAATAATTTGGTGTACACGTAGAGTTCCTTTTAAAGATTGTATGTTTGGTGGCAAAATCCTGGTTATTTCATTAGTGGAATGGTCTGGTATTAAGAAGACTTGTATTCTTTTTAGGCACTGGTTTAAAATATCGTAAGCATCTTGTGCATCAACTATGTCCCTTCCTTAGCAAACTTTTCTATCTAATGTACGTTTTACACAGCCTCCTATACTTCCCTTCGCGGCACTGTGCGACTAACGTGTGACTTCATAATAATATGCTAACAATTTAAATATTGTTTTATGTGTTTTTCTGCGACTAGTTTCCGGTTTGCGGGCGGCTAAAGGTTGTGTATAGTGTTTCTAAAGAATATCAGTAAGTTTTTATTGTTTTTTAAACAGAAATATAGTGCTTAATTATTTTATTACGACTATTGGTGAGTAAATTTATTTCTTTCTAAAAGTGGGTAGGAGGTATCCTTTGTTTATATTTTTTTTTTTTGCGTGTTGTTTATTTTTAAACTTGTTCTTTTTGAAATTGTTGTTTGGTGTGTCTTTGTTTGGCTATGTCGGTCGTTAGCGAGTTACCGGATCCCGGCGGTACAAGTGAATTTCTAACACCAACCGGGAAAAGGACATTTAACGAAATGTCACCTACGGATTTCTTGCCGAAAGACAATAGAAGTAAACGAATTAATAATTCGGATTTAAGTGGAAATGTTTCGTCTCTTAACGGTCGTGATAACTGTGGGGAATACAATTACTGCGAGTTAGTCTCACAGGCTACCGAGTACTTGGCAAAAATTAATGAATTAGTTAATGATCAGGGATCTCGGATGAATGTAGGTAATAAAACGGCAATTATGGATATTACTCAACGAATTACCGGTGCCGTATCTTTGTTAGCAATAAAATCCTCTAGCAACGAAACGAAGTTAGCGAATTTTGAGCGACAAATGGAGGGTATCGCAACTCAACAAACGAGTTTAACGTACGCGGACAAACTAAAGCTTCGATTACCTCCTAAATCTGCTCCGTGCCCGGTACCTACTGAAAAAAAAAAAAAAAGTTTAAAGAGTAACTTACTAAGTAATGAATAATATTTCGATAGGCCAGTTAAATCTTCATAACGATAAAATAGCTACATCAGAATTAGACCGTTTTTTTTTTTTTTTAATCTTTATTTTTTTAATAAGGGGTTTTTATCCAAAAGGATACCAACCCCATCGTACCTTATCATATACAACACAACATATCTTAATATTTACTAAATGAAATAAAATAAAAAAAAGGGAATTATTGATGATTGTTGTGGCAGACTTCCACCAAAGCACACATCCGCATAGCAATTTCCGTCTTTGGATTCGCCAAAATACTTTGAACAAGCCCAACGTCCATAACATTTAATTTAAATTGTCTAATCAATAATTCCCTTTCATCCCCGTTCCTGACACAATCCATCAGCAAATGCTGCACATCTTCAATTTTGCCACACATGTCACAGTTAGGTGATGGTACCTTACGCATAAGAAAAGCAAACTTTGCCGACGGATAGTGTCCCGAACGAAGTCTTAACGCTAACTTAACATAATTTCTACTAATATTAACATCATCGAACCACGGCGCACGAGTGGGCTCATCTTGAATTACTTTATACCAGATACCTTTTTCTTTAGAAATATCATTAAAGTGAGCTTTCCATTTATCAAAACAAAGTAATTTAAATTTGCTTGTGTATTCCCAATAATCTGGCATATATGATATTTCATCACCCTCCTCTACTGCAAATTTTGACAAACGATCAGCCTCCTCGTTGCCCCTTAGACCTATATGCGCAGGGACCCACTGCAGTATCACCCTAATTTCCCCTTTATTGAGGATATTAAGGAGTTTTAGAATTTCGTAGGCTATCGATGCACCTCTGCAACCAGAGGCGCATCGAGCCACATGCTGTAAAGCACTCTTGCTGTCAGTAAATACGACAACTCTATCCCAGTTTTCTTTAGATGCCTGGAGTACAGCTTGATATATTGCAATAAGTTCGATTGACATGATACAGATATTAGCACTAATTCTAAAGCAGCCTTTGTTGTCTATATTCTGGACAAAGAAAGCTGCTCCACCATCATCACTATTCTTTGATCCATCTGTGAAAATTCTATAAAATTCGCTATACTTCGAAGCTAGTTCTGACACCACTTCCTTTACTAAGAGACTAGGATTATAACGTTGTTTTGAATAGGTAATGCATTCTAAATCACTTTGAATACATTTATTAATTTTTATACCTGATACCCATATATCTAAAGTGAACATTGGAAGAATTTCATGAGAGGACACTTTGAGTTGACATAGTTCATTAAAAGTAGTAGCAAGTAGGGGTTTCTTTTTATTTGTCCAGTAACTATTGTGAATAAGCGCACCTAATTCGGCAAAAATATCTAAATTAATGTTATTAGACCAAGATAATGATTTAAGAATTAACTTGTAAGCAAGATATTTCCGTCTAACGAACAACGGTGGTATGTGCAACTCACTCTCCATCACATGAATGGGTGAGCTTTTTATAAAACCGCCTACAATTCTAAGTGCTCGGTTTTGTAATTTATCTACTTTGGATGTATGTATTTTGGCACTGGAGTCGTATAAATAACAACCATAATCAAGGCCGCTTCTTATCAATGCTATATAAATCCTACGCATATATTTAGTATGCATACCCCATGAACTCCCTGCTAATAACCTTAATGTACGAGCAAACCCGCACATTTGTAGTAGTTAATGAAATTAGCTTGCGTTCACTCATTTGTATTACACTCGTATTACATAGGCACTTACTTTACATACATAATTTTTGTACATAATTTAGTAGCAATAAAATCATCATTCGGTAAAGTTGTCTACTCATTTATCAAACTAGCAATCTATCAGTAATGTTAGGGAAACTACCCCTACATTAATGGTCCTTCGAGTGTAAACGTAACACGGGACTATAACGCGAGTGTTCGATCAAGAATATATCGTGCGTCCGGTTACTGACTATCAGCGTACCTGTGGTCACTATCAGCGTCACTTCACGCTAAGAGCAGCCCCAGGAGTAAGCACAGCAGCACACACACACAGCAGCATACAGCCTGGCTTGCAGTCAGCAGTATTAAAGTAAGATCTTTCCTTTTTTCTGTACATCATGAGCCAAACAATGGAGGATCTTGCAGAAAACCAGAATCAAATAATGGTGGCCATGAACCAGTTCTTAGTTAATTTTAAGAAAACTGGGCATGAGCGTAGGACTCCAGACTATGTCAAGCGACGTCTGGAGACTTTAGATGCCTATTGGCAGGAATTTCAGATGAATCATGTTACTTTGAGCGGTTTTAAGGACGAATCTTTAGAGTATTTCGCTAAAAACCGCTATCAGCAAACAAAAGAATTTTATGTATCTACTCACGAGTACATAAAGCAAGCGACTACATCATCAGTTTTGAGACCCGCGACCCCTTTGGCTGGCACATCGGTCGGGGTGAGCGTGGAACAGCATACCAAGGATACGGCCGATACCGAAATTAAATCCTTACCCGCGGCTCCATTGTTTCGGTCTCAAGGTACAAATAGCAAACTGGATGACTGGATGAAGAAGCAAACCAGTAACTTTAAGGCCTTTTCACGCGCAATCAGAAACATAAACATAGATAGCATAAGAGAAAGGTGGGAGTTTCAGGATACATTAAAATCTTTAGAGGCGAGATGGTCTGCTATTGACTCCCTTCACTGGGAGTTAGATGGGGAGCTCGATGGTAAAGACCAGTCATACGAAGACTCTTATTCTGCCTATGAAACAGCTTTTACTTGCATGAAAAAGAAACTGAATAGCAAGTTGTGGTCAGTAGCACATAGGGATAAGTCAACCCCTAAGATGGATGTTCCTACATTTCAAGGCAATTATAATCATTGGGTTTCCTTTAAAGATTTATTCACGGAGACAATACATAACAACCCGTCGCTGTCGAATGCGCAGCGAATGCAATTTCTTAAAAGTAAAG